CTCATTACTTCATTCACTTGTGTGTTTGTTCTACTACGTGTGGCGGTTCCTCATAAATGCAATAAGGAAATACAACAATTAAGGGGAGTCCAGCTCCTTGCCCCCTTGAAACTTACATACTTGGAGGAAGACAGCTGTTAACTAAATTAAAAAATGAAAAATTGACAGGAGAGGGTGACAAGAGAACACGAAGAATCAATGATAGGGCTTTGACTTATTGGGTAAATGGGTGGGACGTTAGAGAAGCTTTTCCTGGGGATGTTCTGAGGGGCCTGAGGTCTCAGGAGTAGCCAGTTAAGAAGGGAGTTTTCTGGGCTCACGAAAGTGAGCTGCAATGAGGGATGGGAGTGTGTTGTGCACAGGGAATAAGAGAATGCTGTGCGTTCAGTTTAGTGCTTGACACTAGGCATTCTAGTTTCTGAATTGAGACCATGGTTGTGAATTATTGCGACCACAGAACTATTTTACCTTGAGAATGAATTGCAGATATCAGCTAACATATCTGTGGAGCACTCACTCAACTCAACAGCAGCAGAATACACATTCTTCACAAGCACACCTAGAACATTCTCCATGACAGGCCATATGCTCAGTTATAAACAATTAGTAACCATTTACAAGGACATTTTGGGAATTCCAAGTATGTAGAAATTAAACAACATACTCCTAAATAACCAAGGGTCAAAGAAGAAAAGCTATAGATGGCCTGTCTTCATGCATGAGCAGGGGAAGGGCTGCCCCCAGTGGCAGTGGAGCAAAATAAAGATGCTTTCTGGTTACAACCCATGAGTTTTGAGTATTCCTTTTACTGTTTACATTTAAAACACCACAAATCAATAAGTAAAAACACAAGCATCACCATATAAAAGTAAGACATGCTGGGATTTTACCATAGAACATAATATTCATTAACACTATTTACTCGTGAATTAAAGTGAGAACTTTTCATATAAGATATTTTATTAAAACTTGCTTTTTAAAGTTTTTATAAGTTTAAATATTACAAAGCCTCAAGTTGTAGGTGTCATAATTTGAATTATTCAAAGCCAGGCCTGGCTGGTGTGGCTTAGTGGTTGAGCGTCAACCCATGAACCAGGAGATCACAGTTTGATTCATGGACAGGGCACATGCCTGAGTTTTGGGCTCCATCTCCAGCAGGGGGCATGCAGGAGGCAGCTGACCAATGACTCTCTTATCATTGATGTTTCTATCTCTTTCTTCCTCTCCCTTTCTCTCTCTGAAATCAGTAAAAACATATATTAAAAAAAGCCAATGTACAACAATGGAATATTCAATTACGGTATAATATGCTTTAATGTAGCTTGTATATAATAAAGCTTATAAAAATTCTTTATTATCTTGATTATAATTCAAATACAGTGACATAAAATAAAGGAAGTCAAATAGTAACTTGTTATCAATGACATAAAGGGGGGGAAGTCCACTCGGGAAGCTGTAAAAAAGTTGGAGACAAAGGCGCTGTCACTGGGACAGAGAGAAGAAATTCTCTGGGGAATTACACAGCAGGTAAAGTCCATTAAAAAAAGAGATGACTTTGTTGTGAGCACCAAAGAAAAGGGAGAGGCATAGATAAAAGTCCCAGGTTTCTAACAAAGCTAGGAGACTGGCAGGGGCATATCACAAGCTCAAGAGGAAGTGAGGAGATCATGAGCTGAGTACATTTTAGAAATGTTGAGTTTGAGATGCTTGGGAAGCTTCAATTGTTGCAAGGTGTCAAACTGACCTTGGAACAGAAGGTAACCTAGAGGAAAAAACACTGGAAGATAAGACTTCTCCCATCTCACACTACAAGTAGAATTAAAGGGAGTTTCCTTTTGTTTAGGACCCAAAAAGTAACTTACTCACTGCATCATAGATTTTTCTAATGTAAAATTAACATTTGTTCATTACATGCAATTTGTTCCTAGAGAAAAATGTACAAAAGAAAATGGGATCACCTATAATTGTATCATATACAGGAAATCACTGTGATTCACATTTACATTTTAGAGCTTGCCCTAATAAATTTGTGTAAATACATAAAAGTATGCTACCATCTAAGGGATAATTGTATATTTTGCAATTTAGTACTGCATAAGGAGTAACCTCCCATGTCATAACAATTTCCTGTGATCATCATAGTACATAATTGTAAAATATTTCCACTTAAAGAATGTATCATAATTTACTTAAACTTTCATGTGTAGGTTTAAGTAAAAAAGCAAGAGTATTTTAGTTTATTAATCTTAGTCTGAATTTCTTATCATTTCTGCATTCATGGAATGGAGTAATCTTTGAATGGGTCTGAATGTGTTCAAGTCTCTTGGTGCTCAAAGCAGTTACTCTCTTAATAGCTATAGTATTTGCCAGGCAGTGACTTATGACCAGGAACTATACAAGATGCTGGGGATATGGCAGTAAATATAAAAAGAACATTCCCCCTGGCCAGTGTAGCTCAGCCATTGGGCACTGACCTATGATCCAGGAGATCAAGGTTCAATTCCCAGTCAGGGCACATGCCTGGGTTGCAGGCTCGATCCCTAGTATAGGGTATGCAGGAGGCAGCCAATCAATGCCTCATTATTGATGTTCCTATCTCTCTCCCTCTCCCTTCCTCTCTCTGAAATCAATAAATATATATATAAAAAAAAAAGAACATTCTCTGTCTATGAGAAGAGAATTTGCTACTGGGGGAGACAGATATTTAAGAGTTAAAAAAATAAATAACAAGCAAGGGTTAAAAAAGACATTAACAGAGTGTTAAATAGACATAACAGTGGAAGGAAGAGAGTAGCACTTTCAGAAACAGTGTGAAATGAAAGTCCAACAATAAGATGACCTTAAGACAAATCCCCAGCCATTGCATCATCTAAGGGTAGGGCATTTCAGACAAAGGGAACAGCAAGTACAAAGGTAAAAACAAGAGAAAAGACAGCCTGTTTTAGAAAGTGAAAGGAGACTGGTGTCCCTAGAGTGTGTTTAGCCTGGGGAACAGTTCCATTTCCGGATGAGATTTAGGAGGCAGATCATGCATAGTCTAGTGGGCCAGGGCAAGGAGCTTATTCTTTGAACAAGGGGTAGGCAGGTCTTTTTTTCAGTAGGGACAGGCTCCAAAACTATGTTTTGAAAACTCTCATCCTGATTGCTATGTGGAGAAAAAAAAAGGTAAGAGTCCTAATGGAGAGACCAGTGAGGAGACAGCTGCTGTAATCTATGTGCCAGAGGGTGGGTGAGGAGTTCAAGAGAGGTAAACTAATTTGGTGTATACTTAGGAGAATATGGAGGATATAAGCATATGGCAGCTAACTATCAAATAGTTATAGGAAGTTGAGGAAAAGGGGGCAGGGAGGTGATTGAAGATATTTCCTAAACTGTGTGCATGAGAAAATGGGTGGATGCTGGACAGTATGGTACTATTTATTATACAGATGAGGGCAGTGGCAAAAAGAAATCTGTTTTAGATATATTAAGTATGAGTTGCCCATTAGACACCAAGTTGAGATATCAAAGACACAAATGGTATTGGAGTTGGGAGTGGGAGCTATGGAGTGGTGGGAAACATAAACTTGGGAATATCAGTAGGAATGAAGAGTTAAGGAAGAGGTTGTTAGTTGGAAAGTGGGAGCTTGTTTATATACTGATGGGAATAATCCAGGAGACAGAAAGAGAAAGAGAGAGGGGGTTGGTGTGGGGTGGGGATGGAAAGCACAGGACACAGAGAAGATTACTGAAAAACTGAAGTCCTGAAAAAACTCTGATAGTATAGTACATGATTCAGAGGTATTCCGACTAAGGTGTGGGCTGGGAAATTTACCAACTCACATCACTTATTGGTTGAGGGATGCTGGGGTACGGGGTAGGCATTAATTCTGCAGCATTTCTGGTCTGCCCTGGACTTGGACTAATATAATTCTGGTCAGCAGAGAAAGCCACCAGGCAAAGACTGCTAAGTGCTTGTAGTAGAAGCCATTGGGTTGGCATATATAGGAATGGTGAGTCCCAAGGGTATTGTGGTACCAAGAAGGTCTTCTACTCTGTCCTGGTTAATGTGTTCTCCATTTGAGTCTTTAACGTAGAGAAAACACTTAAAACAAGAACAACTCTAATTGATAATGGATAGGGAGAGACGAGAATGTTTTAGCCATAGCTTGTGCCTCCCATACAGATAGACCTGAACTGGGGACTTCAGTTGTTAACCTCGCTGGGTCTCAATGACCTAAGCTGTAGAATGGTGGGAGGTAGTAAAAAGGATAGGGCTTCTTTACAATTCTTATTTTCAGTTACTTAAATTTATCGGTAGGGGAATTCTCCTTCTTCCTCATTAGATGTATCAAAGCATTTCAAGCGGTATAGATCTGCCATTTAACCAATTCAGCTTGTTGCATTACATCTCTTTTGAGGGTCTACTCTTTACTGGTCACGGTTCAAAGCATTTGATATGTCTCTAACCACCAAAGCAATCATCTGCGGATGGTAACATGATTCCCATTTTATAGGTGAAGATCTGGTTTTGAGAGGCGAGATGATTATTCCGAACTCAGGTCCTTCTGACTTCCAAACACTCGTTTCTTAAACCGCAGGACAGTGAGATGGTGACGACTATCTTTTCAAGGAAAGGGAACGAGGAAGCTACATCTGACTCTTCACTAGCAAATAAGGCGGCTGCTGGTGCCGACCCGGGAGCACAGCACGAGGCTATGGGAAGCCTGTCTCCAAATCCGGCCGGTCATTCCAGGCTCGCTTCCCTCCTTGGATTGGTGAGCGGCACCGAGGAGAATGCACGAGAGCTCTGGAGGATACCCACTAATCTGAAGTTTTTAAGCCCCTGCACCTCCTCGTTAGTATTAATTTCCTGTTAGGGTGAAGCGAGTATCCGTGGATCCCGGGAAGGACGGACGGCAGTAGCCGCTTCTCCATGGCAATGCCGCCGCCAATCGGCAGCAGGCGCGTTAATATGACTTAGTTCCGGCCCGCAGTTGACGTCACTTCCGTCCCCGGCGCGGCGGCGTGCGGCTGTCTCCCTGCCGGGGCTTTGGATGTACCGGCGGAGCGCAGTGGACTCTGAGCAAACGGAGAGTCTCGCGGAGGGGATTCGGGAGAATGTGGGGGCAGCAACATGGAAAAGGAAGGTGGGAAGCCCGCGGGTGTTGTCGCAGTTGTGACTGAGCCTCGGTTTACCCAGCGATACAAGGAATATCTCGAGAAGGAGAAACTCTTGGACACACAGCACCGGGTGGAAAAGATGCCCGATGGCACCGTGGCGCTGCCCGTGCTGGGAGAGGCGCTCCCTGAGCAGCACCTGCGGGAGCTGAGGAATCGTGTGGCTCCTGGCAGCACCTGTACGCTAACGCAGCTCCTGGATCCCGTTCGTTCAAAGAAGGCCCAGGGTTGTTCACCTGCCCAAAGGCTGTGTCTTGAGGTGAGTCGCTGGGTAGAGGCCCGGGGAGTGACATGGTCAGCTGAGTTGGAAGCTGATTTGCCCCGATCTTGGCAACGACACGGTAACCTCTTGTTGCTGAGTGAGGACTGTTTCCAAGCCAAACAGTGGAAAAATCTGGAACCAGAACTCTGGGGGATTGTTGCCTCGGCACTTGGCGTTCAGCGTTTGGCCAAACGAGGGCGGGTATCGCCGGATGGCACTCGAACTCCAGCAGTAACTCTGCTGCTGGGCGACGATGGCTGGGTTGAGCATGTGGATAATGGGATCCGATATAAGTTTGACGTAACCCAGTGCATGTTCTCCTTCGGAAACATCACTGAGAAGCTTCGAGTGGCATCTCTGCCCTGTACTGGACAAGTGCTGGTGGATCTCTATGCAGGGATTGGTTATTTTACATTACCTTTCCTAGTTCATGCTGGTGCTGCCTTCGTCCATGCCTGCGAGTGGAACCCCCATGCTGCAGTTGCTCTGAAAAATAACCTTGAGATCAATGGAGTAGCAGATCGGTGCCAAATACACTTTGGGGATAACAGAAAATTGAAGCTCTCAGACATTGCAGACCGGGTCAACCTGGGGCTGATTCCCAGCTCCGAAGAAGGCTGGCCCATTGCCTGCCGGATGCTAAGAAAGGATGCTGGGGGCATTTTGCATATCCACCAAAATGTGGAATCTTTCCCAAGGAGGAATCTCCAGCCTCTTGGAAACAGTGAAATGGAGGAGCATAGGCCTTATCCTCAGCAAATTATCAACAACCAATGGGAAAATGGAGCTATCAGGGATTCTAGGAGAAAAGTGCTGTCAGCATCCATCAAGCCAGAGTGGCACAGGTGGGCGGAATCTGCAGAAACTCGCATTGTCACTCTTCTTCAGCAGGTGCATGGGAAACCGTGGAAGACACAAATCTTGCACATCCAACCAGTGAAATCCTATGCTCCCCACGTGGATCACATAGTCCTGGATCTGGAATGCCGCCCCTGTTCTCTGGTTGGCTAGATCCTGAGACATGAAGATCTACCTGTGAGTGACCCTTAATGTACCAGCTCAGGCCAGGTTCCAGCCCTCGTCTCGGGGTAGTCTATTTTAATATTTTGTGACCCTGAAAGCAGGCTCTAGACCATTCCAAATCACTTCACTTGTCTTCCATTGAGCACATTGAGAATGAGCTACATATCTGGGAGAAGCAGCGTGGCTCACTGAAATGAGCCCCATCTGTGCAGTCGTGAATTCCGAATTCTGACCTCAGTTCTGTCTGACCTTGGGTACATGGTTTCAATAGTCTTTTGGCCTTGGATATCCTTATTTGCAAAATGAGGGTTTCTTTGAACTATCTCACATGGATCTTATTTAATGAGCAGTTGTACACAGGACATTGGTTATTTCAGAGTGAAAGGCAGTGCCTTTTCCAAAATCACTCTTGTTACTATGGAAAATCGACTGGAGGGTGGCCAGGATGGATGCAGACCAGTGAAAAGGTTTCTGTGGTTGTCTAGGCATGAGGTGATAATGACTTGGACTAGGGTGGTGGTAGTGGGAAGTGGATGGATTTGAGAAATAAAATTGATGCGACTAAGAAATGGCGTCCATATCAAGGTATTAAAATGGTGCTGTTTTATTATCACTGACAAAATAGGGAGGGAGGGGGACCAAAGTTATTCTCGTGTATTAACTCTTAACTCTATCCCCCTACTTAGGCATTCCTAAATGAGCATGGGGGGCGATGTCTTAAATACTGGCTTGATTGTGATAGTAAAAGGGATAAAATGACTGCTTTCAATCATAGGGAAACTAGATTTTCAGTCTTAAGCTTGTGCAATAGCTGCCAATTGCTAGCTTTTTTTTTTTTTTTTTTTTAATTCT